ATTTCTGGAAGAAACTTCTTTAGTTGCTCGGCCGGGTTTACAAATGGCTGATATCCAGGAAAGAATGGTTGCTCGATTGAAACATCTGGGCATTAAAGTGAAAAGCATCGAGGAAGATGAACACTGTGTCATTCCCATGGGTGGACCCCTCCCTGTTCTTCCCCAAAGAGTTGTTGGGATCGGTGGTACTGCCGGGATGGTGCATCCTTCAACCGGATATATGGTAGCAAGGACCCTGGCTACGGCCCCAATTGTTGCTAACACCATTGTTCAGTGTCTTGGTTCTGATAGAGGCCTTTCAGGAGTTGAACTGTCTGCGCAAGTGTGGAGAGATTTATGGCCAATCCAAAGAAGGAGACAAAGGGAATTCTTCTGTTTTGGTATGGACATCTTATTAAAGCTTGATTTACCGGGCACGAGGAGGTTTTTTGATGCATTTTTTGATCTAGAACCTCGTTACTGGCACGGTTTCTTATCATCAAGACTGTTTCTTCCTGAACTCATTGTTTTTTGGTCTATCTCTATTCTCTCATGCTTCTAATACTTCTAGGGTGGAGATTATGGCAAAAGGAACTCTTCCTTTGGTTAACATGATCAACAACTTGATAACAGATAAAGAATAAGATGAATGCCTGCTAATTTGTTGTACGCTATCTGTGTTGGTGCATTTGCACCTGAAGTTTACTGATATTATTGAATTTCAACACATAAGATCAGTTCTTCTTGCTATTATGCTTAGCAACAGCATATCTTGAACTTCCTTTAGGACGTGTTCGTCCTATTTGCAAATGTACATACATTTACGCCTCTTATGGATAAAAATAGTAATTGGTTCCTTGTTGCTCAGCCTGTTATCCTGTTAAAACCCCTCTCTCATGCGATTCATTTAGAGAAAGCTTGGGATGAAATTATATAATTAAGGATCATTATATACTTTTCCTGTTAAACTGGAGAATATAATCAATACCTTCCTTATATTACTGAAACCTTGGTAGTGCGCTATAATATCGATAGAGAGTCAATTCGTAATATTGTAGCTCAAAAACTGATAACCCTTTTGTATCATTAAATTATTATAGTGGTAAATGATCATCCGGCTTAATGGTCTGTGTCTACGATTTAGTTAGTCGGTCTTGGTTGACATCTCAAATTCAATGCCTTGCTACTTAGCGCGAGGGAGTTCGCTTGTGTGGAAGTACTGGATGAGTTGGCACAAGTCCACTTCCGTACTAGCGAGTGAGTCCTTTGCTTAGGTTTCTAAAGTGATAGCAGAACAACAGGTGCCTGGTCACAAATACATGTACATACACCCATTGATTAATGATTATACCCATCTTTAAGGTCACTGTCGTCACCTATGCTTTTAAGATCACTGGTCATAGTATCTAAAGCAAAACAAATGCTCTAAAAATATATGATTAGAAATAGAAAGATACATCATACTTGTCGACGAAAAAGGAATTCCCCCCCCCCCTAAAGCACAGATCGGCTCCAGGCACACAAGTATGCAGCATCACAGAAAACCGTGGTACTGTACTACGCAATCCGCAGAAGATTCATCAATGCATTCACGCAAAATTGGACAGAAAGCTTATGGCAAGCACGAAAGAAGACGTAGGTGAAGGAGGAAATGAGTTTTAATTCTGGGCACGAATCGGTTAATCCCTAAGCATTAGGAGGAGGAGGGTGCATGGCCAACCACGTCTGGACGAAAGTGAGAAAAAGCGCAATGCTAGCAGCAACGAAGCCAAGCAAGGCCCATGGGCTGCTGAAATGGTCGTGCAGAGCCTGAGCCAACCACGTGAAGTATTTTTGATTGTAACGCGTCTCCAGGTCACGACCTACTTCCCTATACGCTGTGCCGGGCATCAAGTCGGAGCTTATAATGTTGAAGAGTTTGGCCACATCTTCGTCGCTGCCAAGTACGTTGTGGAGAACCCCAGCTTTCCTTAGATGTTTCACATCCTCTGGATGGTCAATCAGGGAATCCAAAAATGCTACGTAGGAGCTGATCCCGTAGCCGTTCATGAAATCTGGGCACATCTCATACGCTATCAAGTTCAAGAATGTGGGAAGCGTTAAATCGTCCACGATCAGCTTGTTAAGCCAGAGTCTCCCAAAACCCCTGCGAGTCATTCCCCAATCGAATCTGATATCCGTAAGTTTTTTACCATCTCCCTTGGCTACCGAAATCCCTGCTGCTTTAAGCTCCTGTATGTTTCTGTATGTTGGAAACTTTTGAGATCCCCGTTTCGCTGGGTCCGCAGGTTTTCTATCATCACAATCATGATCAACCAGGATGAATTTGCGCAGAAGATGCAGCAAATGAGGTGGTCGCTCCACTGTTATTTCCACCTGTGGTGGTGGATTCCCAGTCGTTTCCGTCGGTGCTCCCTGGCCGGTGATCCTTTCCCTCTGATACCTGGACAAAAATTGTTTTATCCAATTGTCCAACTCCCTCTCGTGTGCATTGCTCAACAGCCTGAGCAGAGGATAGGGAAGTTGGTTCTCCAGCAAGAGCAGATCCTGCTGCACAAGGACCAGCTGATCTTCCTTGATCTCCAGGTATTCATCTGGGCGCTCAGTGTTCACTTTTTGGAGGAATCCAAGCAGGGCACACGCGTCCAAAAGGAATATCCATGCAAGCTCCTCGTCCTTATCGAGGAAGCCTTCAATGGCGTCCTCGGTGTAGGGCTCCTTCAGTTCCTGCAGGCGACTTTGAATTTTTTCAAATAGCGATTCAGCACTTTGTTGGGTATCTTTAAGGTACATTGCTGCCCATGTCATCTTGCAGTGCTCTCCTCCCTTGAGACCATCTTCCCCATGATGGATGGGCCCGAATGATACCAGCTTGGGGCGGTAGTACCTGGCCAAGTCGTCTCGCTTTCGAAGATATGGTTGGACTTTTTGTATCTTGGGAATGGGCTTTAGAGGTTGGCGATCCTCTCTTCCAAGAGTTCGCTTTTTCTCTTCGAGTTCGGCCAAGCTGCTCTTCAACTTTTGTGGCAAATCTGACGGGGTTGCTCCTCTCTCATATGAGCTGCATGACCAATCTGATGAAGCCATTGTTCAAGTGTTTGAGAGGAACTTTGCTAAATTCTAGGGCTCTGCTCGATAACTACGGACACTCACGCACTCTGAACAATTTAAAGTACTCTGCATAGGATGAACCTTATAAAATGCAATAGGAGGATCTTGCTTTATTGATATTTTGAGTTTGGAACCAAACATACTTCATCCAGAAAAAAGCATTATTTCTACTGACTAGTCACAGCGTATTCCACCAGCTTTGCTTTAAAAAAGAAATATGGAATATTTGTGACCCTTGTACTTCAACAATCTTACCATCAGGTAAAAACAGTGTGCAATGTGATGCATGCCATACAATAAAGTTTGAAGAAAGAAATATCTAAACATATTTCAATAACTTAATGACAACTTTTTTAATTTGTTAATAAGATTTTTTAGTAATTTTTTTGGACCCCACTATAATTCTCGCTTGCTAAAAGCCTAAGATGGACACTTCTTGGAGAATGCGGCAAAATATGTTAGTCACCGGGAAAAAAAAAAAATCAGTCCCTTCTTCTTGGGGAGAACGGGAAAAGAAAAAAAGTCCTTTTGTTCAGCATTAAAAAATGCATTGTACTACCTCCGGTCCTTAATATAAGATCCTGTTTGACTTTTATTTTGGTCCTAAATATTAGACCCCAATCCACTCTGTCTCTCATTTATACATTTTTTTTTTCAAAGTAACCCTTCTAACAATGATAGTTCTAGTCAATACACTTGATTAGCAAGGGTATTCTAGGAAAGACAACACATATTTAGGACAAATAATTAATTCAACTTACTTCTTTAATCTCCTCAAATTAGTCAACTAGCTCTTATAATTAGGACCGGAGGTAGTATTTACTGTAAATCATGCTTTATGGTAACCTGATAGTAGTCAAAAGAATCACAAAAATTTAAAATCATAGTGAAAACAAAGGCATAAGATATAAATGATTTCACTGGAAATTATAAAGAACAAATAATAATTTTTTTAACTGACAAAAAAGAAAGCTAAAATAAACTACATGTTCTAATAATCTTAAAAGAATAAAATGTACTTATTTGAATTTCATTTTGGTTCTAAATATAATATCTCAATCTATTTTATATCTCAAATTTATTCTTTTATAGCTGATACACTTAATTAACAAGGATATTTTAGAAACGACAACACTTATTGATTACAAATAATTAATATAACTAATTTTTTTAATCTATTTAAATTAATTAATTAGTTATTATATTAAATACGGGTAGTATGTTCCAGCCTCCGCCTAATCTCCCCGACATCAATTGGTGGGGGGCACCCCAATTCGTCGCTCTTTGAGCAAGAGAATTTTACTTTCACACGGCTGTTTCCTGATCATCGAAGAATGGTCAATGAAGTCATTTGGAAAATCAGTTGCACCTTCCCATAGAGAAAAGTCAAAATCAGACATGATATCACGGACACGGAGCACGTCGCAAACGAGGACAAAACGAAATTGGATTCTCTGCTCTTTTCATCCTCTTTCCCTCCATTACCCTCTTTTTCTCATCACAACCTTTAGATCAAAACTCTAATAGTCCAGATTTAATATGTTATAACATTTTATAAAAATAAATATTATGATAAAAAATAGATAAATAAATTTAAACGGTTAAAATCTAATCTGAACAGTTCATAACTATACACTGTTATTATAAAACAAATTTTTTTAATTTTTTTATTACAATTATAAACTGTTCAGACCAGATTTTAACAATTTAAATTTATTTATTTATTTTTTTAATAATATTATTTTTATAAGATGTTAAATCTAGACTATTGGAATTTTAATCCAATAGTTGTGAAGAGTAAAAAGAGTAGTAGAGAGGAAGAGGATGGGAAAGCAGTCTGGACAAAACACTCCGAATGCCATCCCCCATGCGTTCTTATATTTGGGGCTAATTCCATCACGCCCATCTCAATTCTTTAAGTCGCATTCTGGAAACTCTGGTGAAGAGAAGTTCAAACACAACGATGGCAGACCTCTTCCTGAAGCAGGCAAAGCAGTATGCAGCTTCGAGGCCAGGTTACCCTTCCCAGCTCTTCCGCTTCATCGCTTCCAAGACCCCTTCTCACCAGCTCGCTTGGGACGTCGGCACCGGAAGCGGCCAGGCTGCCCAATCTGTGCGTTCCCTTTTTCTCTCCTTTACATTCATCCAGTAATTCTGCTCCATTTCCTCATTATTAGCCTGTTTAGTTTTCCCCCTTCGTAAAAAGAGTACATTGATACAGGAATATGAATTTTTGTCAAATCGAACGATCTAACCTCATCGTGTATCTATTACTTATCTAACCTCATCATGTATCTATTACTTACTCGTGTCCTGAATCCGGTCCAAATTAATTTCAGTTAGCTGAGATATACAAGAATGTGATAGGCACGGATGCGAGTGAAAAACAGCTTGAATACGCAGTGAAGCTCCCGAATGTGCGATACCAGCACACACCTTCAACCATGTCAATGGCGGAGCTGGAACAGAAAGTGGCACCGGAGGGAACCGTAGACTTGGTGACCATCGCTCAGGCCCTCCACTGGTTTGACCTCCCGACCTTCTACCGCCAAGTGAAATGGGTGCTGAAGAAACCTCACGGAGTGATTGCCGCTTGGTGTTACAACGTGCCCCGAGTGACGGACTCAATAGATGAATTGTTCGATGAATACGCAGTTGAGCTGAAGCCTTATTGGGATCCGGCACGCGCATTTGTGGACAACGATTACAGGTGCATCGATTTTCCGTTTGAGCCTGTGGATGGAGCGGATGACACAGGGCCGATTGAGTTCGTGACGGAGAAGGAGATGGATTTGGATGATTTCTTGACGTACCTGAGATCAGCGTCAGCGTACCAGACGGCGAAGGAGAAGGGAGTGGAGCTTCTGAGCGAGGATGTTGTTGAAAGGCTTAAGAGTGCTTGGATCGAAGATGGATCTCAGCTTAAGGTTGCCAAGTTTCCAGTTTATCTCAGAATTGGAAAGGTGGGAGACGCCTGAAGGTGCCAAAGCCATTTCTCTTACCCGAATATGCCTTTTTAAGTTGTAACCGAGATATTGCAATAGAAGCCTCTTAAAAAAACGGTACATTGTGGTCCAGAGAAAAGGATATGGGATCGCATGGATATGCATTGTCCAAATACTTCATCATTAATACTTACCCACCGATGTCAAATTATTAAATTTTATGACAAAAAATGTCATTATTCGCATAGTATTTTTCCAAGCACAAAGAAACTATCAATTACTTCTAAAATAACATAATATATACTATCAATATTTTTATACTATAGCAATATTTAACTATTTCTAATAGTAACTGAACATCTAACTTGTGGTCCGGGTGTTGGGGAGGATAATGGCTTACCATTGACCATCCCTGATTTCCCCCCGGCGTTTAGCGGAGTGAAGAAATATTAAGAGAATGAAAATGCTATTGTAATAAAACTCTTTACAACTCAAATTAAGTTCTGCATGTTATGACAAACGAGGATAAACTCACATTAAAGATTGACTAGGCTGAAATGGACAGTTTTAGATAAAACATACTCTCGTATATTAATCAAGTAGATTGAGGTATTATTTTAAATTTAACGCCCAACTAGCTCTCATATTAAAAATAAAAAATACTATAATATTTTTAATTATTATTAATGTTTTAATAAAATTTAATTTTTATTTTCTTTTTGCCAACAAAATTTAACCTTTGTAAAAACAGTTACTCACACTTATTTATTAATAAATGCATCCTTTCATGGACTGAAAACTTTTAGGGTGTGTTTGGTTGGAGGGAAGGGGAGGGGAGGGAAGGGAGGGAGGAGTAGGGGAGGGGAGGGGAGGTTTCATCCTCCCCTTATTTGGTTTGATTAAAAAAGAGGGGAGGGGAGGGCATTTAATGATCCCTTGTTTGGTTCAAGGAGGGGAGGAGAGGGATAGTAATAATCAATTTACCATTTTACCCTTATATATTAGTTTATGTTTTTTATTGATATATTATATAAATTAATTTACATCTTAATTTAAATTATATAATTTAATAAAATTCATCTTATCATGTTAATATGTGTATTAAAAAATTGGTATAGTAATTTTTTTATTCTAATTAATATAATAATATATTTAAAATAATCAAATTAACAAATTTTATATGCTATAAGAAAAATGAAATTTTATTTTTTTTAGGCTATCCTTTTTTCCAGCTTTAAAATATATTTAATAAATAATATATTTATAAAAAACAATTAATTTTATAATATTATAATTTTTTTATTTAAATATTTTTTATTTTAAATAATTTTTAAAATATATTTTTAATTATAATAATGTATTTATTTTTTTTTTTTTACTTAGGATACTATATTTTTTATTTGAAATAATATTATCCTATATATTTATGGGTAAATGAAATATTAAAAAAATCATAAGGGCGTAATGGTCCAAAATTTTGGCTCCCCTCCAAAAACCCCCAATTTGGAGGGGAGCCAAAATGGGGGGAGGGAGGGGAGGGGAGGGGACATCCCCTCCCCTCCAAAATTTTTAACCAAATGAGGGAGGGGCTCATTTTCCCTCCCCTCTCTTCCAACCAAACACACACCCTTAGATGCAAGGATGTACCTTTTTTAAGGCCGGAAAAAACCAAGTAAATCGTCCCAGGGTAGCCAAAGCGTAACTCCCGCGGTGAGCAAATTTGTAAAACTTGCCTCTGTTGCCTAAAAGATAATACCACTTTGCATTATTAATATAAAAGCTATTTTAATTTTTAATTTAATTTTAAATACAAATTTTAATTTATTTTGTCTTTTATATTTTTTTAAATCATAATTTTAATTAATACCTAATTAACAATGATATTAAAAAATAATTAAAAAACCTAATTATTACAAATACTTATTTAATCTATATTCAGCGAATTAGTTTTTTATACCAACCAGAGGTGGCGGTGATAAAAATCCTTAAAAATCCCTAACCTATATATACGAACCTCTCTTGCTCCCCGCACATTTCAGGCGCTGAGAGCGTTATTGCGCGATCTCGAAATGGACAAGATAATCGAGTCCATCGGTTCGTTCTTTGGTGGCAGCGATCAGATCCCTTGGTGCGACCGCGACGTCATTGCTGTAAGTTTCTCAATCTCATGTTTCCCCCGCCTCTGTTCCCCTTTATTTGCTGATACAATCTCTTGCTGGAATTTGAAACCTTGAGCTTTTTAATGTTTTTCGAAATTCCTGTGTCTGTACCCAGAACTCGGGATCGTCAATTTCATTTTTTTCATAATTTTACAGATCACATTTAATTCATAGCTCGGTTCTTTTGTTTTTTTTACCAGCATATCTCGGTTCACTAGCATACTTGTTATCATCGTGACTTTGAACAGGTTCAGTGTACCAAATTCAGAGTTTGGGCTGGAGCGTTCCTTTAAATAAATTTGTTAATTTTCTGTGTTTTTGGTGTCGGTTGGGGCCTTGGCGAAGCTCTTCATATCTGACCGCTGCTTTTTTTCCGTATCAACAAGAAAATGTATTTATTTCTGGAGAGGGTGAAAAGAAAAACTGAAGCTTTTTATTCGTAATATCTCATGTTGAAATTCTTTGAATAATCGCAGTGACGGTACTGCAGATTTTACTACCTCACTTGTTAATTTTTATCTGGCTATCATGTTGGTAGTAGCGTACTCGCTCGCGCTATCCTTCTGCTATTTTCTTCCATCAGTCTAAATTATTTTGTATATTCTGGAGGGCTGTGAGAGAGAAGTTGCGGATGCTTCAAATGGTGATTCTGAGGAGCGGAAGAGTGAAAGCATCATGAGATTGTCGTGGGCGCTTGTTCATTCAAGGCAACCAGAAGATGTGCAACGTGGGATAGCCATGCTTGAAAGTAACTTCACAGAATAAACTGAGTACTTCATATTTCTTTCATAACGTATTTGAGAAAAAATTCCTTTCTGTTTCTGGTGTTTTCCTAATTGCGGTAATAATTCTGAGTTTATTTTTTCTTAAAACGTTAATCATTATTTTGTATGTTCTTGCCATTTCATTTAATCTCCATAACACTGCATAATCTGCATTAAGTATAAGCATATTTTTTCCTTCCTGCATGGCTGCTGACTACGATTCCTCTGCCTATTATGCCAAACCAAATCATGGTAGCACATTTTGCAGCCTGAAAACGTGAATGTTAATTTTCCAACATTATACTTTTGCCCCGTGATTTATACTGTCATGATCAATGAAAACCAGAATGCTAATGCCAAAAGGCCTTATATTTTAGCATGCTGAGAAACTGTTTAAAAGAAATAGCCTTTTGCAGCCTCAACTGCATCATTTGTAATCCTTGTGTTGTGATTTGCAGCTTCTCTGGGAAATAATACCAGTCCTTTGCACCAAAGAGAGAAGCTATATCTTCTTGCTGTTGGATATTATAGGAGTAGTGATTATTCCAAGTGTCGGATGCTTTTGGATCAGTGTTTAGAGGTCTGTCTTTCTCAACTCAATTTCTGTATGCAACTAACCGTCCCGTGTAATTTTGTTGATGCTGCTGGATTATATAATATGTACTACTGTATTATATTTGTGTTGTTTCACTTGAAGGCTGGGAGTACGAGTTTATGACCTATCTAATCCCCATCAAACATTTGCCTTTTTTCTTACGGACTGGGGAATATATCTGTTTTCAACTTCGAGGTTTTCTCTTTCAGTGTACTCAAGACCTAGTTTATCCTTGATTTTTTTTAATTAACTAAATGTTCTTATATTGTAAACGTCCTGGATTCTGCACCATATTAGGAGGTTGATTGTATTTTTGCAGATAAGTCTGTTCATGCTAAACCAGCCTGTCTTCACCATAGCCTTTTTAAAATTATCTTCACTGTCTATTTGGGCATTTTGTTCTTGCAGATTGCACCTGATTGGAGGCAGGCTCTGTCCCTCAAGAAAACTGTTGAAGACCGAATTGCTAAAGGTTATACTGCCATTTGTGTCTTGAGCTTATTTTTTTATCACATAATAGCATTAACTAAAGGGATTGCAAATGTTATTTGTTGAATTTTATTTATTTTTTTGATAGCCAGATGTCATTTGTGTTAACGCAGATGGTATTATTGGAATTGGCATCACTACCGCAGCTGTTGGACTTATAGCTGGAGGACTTGCAGCAGCGTTTGCCCGCAGGGGATGAGACATTCCCTACTCATAGAGACATGCTTGCGATTTTGGACTCTTGTTTAGTTTTCTTCAAGAAGCGTGTTAAAAGGTCAATGAGTTGACAACTGCTACTTCTAACGTTTTAAATCCTCTCCAAACATTAAGATACACAAACCGTAAAAGAATTACTGTTTTTCAGTACGATACTCATTCAGTCAATAGCTACTCTCTGCTGTCATGAACGAACTAATAATTCCGAATCGTTAGATAAATAACTAATTATTTTGAACCGTATGCCGCAATAACAATGATTTTCAGCTAAAGTAGGTTAACGGTCTACTTGCTGCCTTCTATGGCGAAAGGCCTGGTATTGGGGTCAACGATAGAACGGATCTCATGTGAGCCCAGCACGCACGCATGATTTGTTTCGTTTGAGCCGCGAGGAGGACAAATTATTAGGGAGTTTGAAAATTTTTTTCCATTTAAATCAAGACAAACTTTTTTCATATATTTACCTTGTATAAATATACCATAAAATCACCTTTTAAAAAGCTAATCGAAACATGTCCTCTCTATCAATGAAGGGCAGAAGCAAGTAGGGGGGGGGGGGGAAACGCTTCCTTTTCGTTTGTGCGGTTAAATTGGAAAGCGAAATGCATAAAAAATACCATTGGCATTTCAATCCGAAGGCAATACATGTTGGAGATACTCAGATGGGAAGGGACCCAATGCTTCATCTGCGTCATCCACAATTGCAGGCAAAACATGAAGAAACAATAAATACGACACCTCATTTATCGACTCAAATCCTTGCCTGTTTCGATTCCATTCTGGCGAGGGCAGCGTCAGTTTCTAAAATGCAGTAAACTTGGATATTCGACAGCCCGTTTCCTCGACTGTAAATTCAGACAAATAGTTATATTTATTTTTAACTAATGAGTTATAATATCTATAATGACCCGTTAATCCGAGTATCTTTGTTCCTTCTGAAGAGCAGGGGCAGTTAATGGGGCTAATTGATGAAGTAATGAACAATCACAAAGTAAAGTGCCTCACAAATATCAACCAGAAAGCCCAAAACAAGAAGGAATCGAAGGTAATCATTGTCGCAAGAAATACGTCGACGCTAATGATGAGAAATTCATCAACCAAGACAGAATCGACAATCAAGAGCAACAAGCAGGGCATCTTATCAAGCCGTTCTCGTTACAATCTGGGCACCTCCTTAACCCTGCTTCTTCCTGCTCGAACACCTTCCTGCTGCCGTTGCAATTAAGGCAGGGTACAAACCTAACACCTCCACAATTCTCACACTCATATTCTCTATCTTGCTCAGGAAGACCCATCAGCAGTGTTGCTAATTCTCCAGACTCATTCATCTTCTTTATTTCCTCTGCGCCTCCCACGTGCTTTCCCCTTATGAACACCTCCGGCAGTCTCACTGCTCTGTTGCCTCCTACCGCATTCTGCAACTCTTTCCTATACGACGAGTCCATAGAGATGTCCTTTTCATCCACTGCTACCCTGAATCCCCTCAGTATCATCCTCACCGCACAGCAATCTTCGAAAGTCTTTCGGATCCCTCTTAAACTTGTGAAATATACCACTATTTTATCTTCGGTACCCTGTAAAGGTGACCAATGCAGATTGTTAGAAAACGTTGAGTATGATGGGCTAGACCCCGTGGAGGTGGCGCCTCTGGAAAAACTGCTTCCTAATCGTCTGGATGATAATGCTCGCCGGTAACTCCAAGCCACATCTGGGTCCAATTTAGCAAGCAAGGCTTCCTCAGATAAATGTTGCCATAGTGGCTTACTCTCCCTTATTTTTTCTGAGGATTCAGGTGATTCAAAAACTTTCTTTGCAGACCCTTCAGAAGTAGGTTGATTTTGGACACTCGTAGGTTGGTCAAGAATGGAGGAATGGGACACGGTTGTGTCTTTAGAGTCATCGTCTAGGCCGTCCATTAGTTCCCATGTGTTGATGACACAGTCTGGGGTCAATGATTGCCGTGCCTGTGTTTGGTTTAGTTTATCTTGAGGAGAGATCTTGTGTGGAGAAGGAGGCTCCATGGAGGTAAAGCTCATGTTTTGTAGGTTTGACTGGTCAATTAGGAGAAGAGAACCGTAAGTGGTGGAGGTGAGGGACACAAGGTGGTGGGTGTCACCTTTTCTTGTAGGGGGGTGATGGACTAGAGGCATTGGTAGAGAAAGAGATCTTGGAACTGGTGAATTCGAATTGGAGAGGTACGAAGCCGGAGATGGAGAACAAGAAGAAGCAAGAGGAGAGGAGCAATCCTCACTGTTTCTGGCGACTATATTGACTTGTTTTGAGGCTGAGCAGCCCATGAATGCAGAACTAGATAGTCTGAGTAACTGATGAATTTGCCTTACCTTCTTGATACCTTACCTTTGCTTCGTCTTCTTAGGACTACTCTTTTTCTTTTTCCCCTTTCAGTTTCTGGGTTCGTCTTCGTCTCTTAGAAGACTTTTGTATGGACTAATTCTTGTGCTTTTACAGAAAGAGCGTTCTAAAGGTACAATGATTTTAAGCGTATGCATGGAGGCTTTAGAAGGAACTGGAAAGGAAGAGAGACAGAAAAGAAAAGAAACGAAAATAAAAGTTGTGGGGATGAGAAGGCGCTGTCAAGAGGGTTGGATGGGAAAGATGGCAAGCATTAATGATGCCAAAGGGATCAGAAATGGCGGTTTGGAGCTTTTAAATTTATTAGGCGATAAGTGATAATATCCTTCCGTCAAATGGAACAAAGAGCACTCCAAAGACTACTATTATGATTAACTAGCTTTATTTTATATTAAAAATAAAATTAGGGGGTCTCCCAATGTACAAATTATGAGGAATAAATTTTATATTCATTTAATGTTTTAGAATTGGATAGAATATGATGCTCATGTACAATTTCTAACGAATCACTTCTGATTGAGCAAATCCAACTAAGATTAATTTGGCATGAACAGTCTGTCAAACTCAATATCACCATCATCTCATCATTTCTAGTCAAATTAGTATTATGATTTGAAAATAGTGAAACCCATCAGCATTCATTTAATAATGTTCGTCCGAGAGAATTGGCACTATCTGTTGAGGGAATTTTAGGCAGATGAAGCAGGAAGACAACGAATGCCTCCATCCTGGAGACTGGACTAAGAATTTTCATATAAAGGTAAGCAATATTGAATGAACATGCATTTGATGAGTGAATTAGGGATCACTGGACACTAGAAGCAGACAAAAGAAGCGAGTCATGATGAGAAATAACGAAAGGGGAAAAAGAAGAAAGTGAAGAATTTAATATGAATTTGCCATAGCCATCATTAGGTCCCTCAGAAGCTGAAAGAATCGGCCATTTAATAAATGCGGAGGACCACAAAACAAACCTTCAGATCCCAGACAGGCCACAACTGCATTATTCCAATGGTGGGTCTGGGCAGCTAAAGCAGCTGTCTCATCTGCTTTAGCTGTTTTACTGGTAACCCTTTTCAAATTTGAAAGGATGAAAAAACTTTTACAGATTTACGGTGAAGGTTAGTGTGTTTCACATGGCTCTTCGCTTCCAAAAATTGTTGGCGAAGGTAAGTTTGTAACACATCGTCAGTTAAAAGAAGACACGTACAATTGGTAGTGAGCCCATTACTAACTTGCTTGAGGTCGCCGCTCCATTATTTATTTGCAGAACCTCGCACTTTCAAGGCATTGACGCTTTTGCTGTAAATGGCGCTAGGAGAGCAATAATACCTACTCTCCTTACTAATGTTGGGGAAAATCACATCCAGACGTCACAACTCTCTAACATTTACAATTGAAAGAACTTAAATTATTCAGACAGTTTAGATGACATTCATTTTGTCATGAATAAATGAAAATGCTCTTGTTAAAGAAAACCCAAATTTTAAAGATAAAAGTAAATAAATTCGCTTTTCTTTTTTTTTGGGTTACACGGGACAGGATCGAACCCACAACACATACCCTCCACACACATATAGCACTCAGCCAAACAGCCAGTAAAGCAAACACCACCCCCCCCCCAAAAAAGAAAAAAGAAGGGGAAAAAAACAAGAGTACAGACCCAGGAAAAAATTTAATGAAGACTGAATTGATAATCTTATTGATACTCTTATATTTACAATTTGCGCATGAACATTACATGAGTTCAAGGCGATAATAAGTAGTCGGGTGTCATAATCTTTATCCCTTAAACCGGTTTTGATCTAACCATCCACCTTACAAGTTTAGGCATACTTCTCAGACGCTAACAGTTCCAGAGATTATTCGATCAGTTGTGTAGCAGGACACAGAACTAGAAGTTGAATATAAAAACTAATGCGCGTCCAAAGCGGATAAAATTGGAGCCGCCAGCACAAAATAATAAAAGACTGATGCCACAAGGCCTGAGGTTGTATACGAATATTCCGATTACGTGATTTTAGCAGGCATACACCAAATGGATATGAGACTGGTGCAAAATCCAATCATGGGGACATGCTCATGCTTATCTGATCAGCATCGTGTAATGTTCAAATCATGTATCCTAGCAACTGTTGTATGGATAAAACTTGAGAGTTCTTCCTTTTAAGTCTTCATATCATTCCTAGCCGTGTTTCCATTGGTCAATAAAGTCTTCATTTGCTGCTGATTTTACTCCTAAAGTGTACATTTTCAAGAGCAATCCACAACTCCAATCATCAAAATGCAATCCATGCAAAGTAGATTTTCTAGTATCCAACAATATGTAGAAAAAACTAATTTTACGTAACACAAAATACCAAAGAACATCACCACGTGGACCATGCTTTTCCCCTTCCATGCAAGCATTCCGGATTTCATCTCCCATCACTAACCTATGACTTCAGAGATCTAGAAAAATAAAAATGTTCTTCACCCAATACTCAAATTTTGAACACATGTTGACTTCAAGACTTCTATTTACAAGCAATTTATTCCTAAGGAAGCTGATGAACCTGCAAGCAAGGTAAAATATTCTTAGGCGATTGGCAAAAGCTCTTTTCTATGAATGTAGTAATAATGACTTGGCAATAAAGCAGCTGATATTTTATTTGCCCATAGTCCAGCAGGGTGTATTATCAAGAAGGTTTATGATTTAATTTGATCCCTACATTACAATTTTTAAAAAACATTGAAAAAAGGGATACCTGAAAGTTGCCGATGACTAGGTGTTGTCTATTTAATCACTTCCGAAGTCTTCATAACTCAAGCCTTCTGATACGGAATCCAGCCTTTTATTGTCTGCTTTAACACCATGACAATATTAAAGTTAGCAGCCATCTCAAATCTTTCAAAATAAAGGATCTCTTCGGAGGTTTTTCCCTTCTTTATTTTGAAAGAGGAAGTGATGTTTCTCACCTTGTTCTCCTCTTTCAAGGAAGTTCTCATCAGTAACTAGGAAGGGAGACCGTGAATAGTTTTCTAGTATTTCTGACAAATGAGAAGCTGACGGTGAGAAACTAGAGACTAAAACCAAACTCTTAAAAATAGGCATCAACAATAACCTGACCAACATTTTTCAAGCTCCTTCTATAATCAACCAAGGGGAATCATGAACGCATGCAGAGGTAAACATGGATGGACAAAAAGTCAGAGAGAAAGAAGACTAACCAGAACGCTGAGAAAAATCAGCAGTCAGATCAGAAAGGCTAAAAGTTCTAGGAATCTGCCCCAAAAATCCAAATGAAGAAGCAGCATCTGGAACCAAAAGTGGCATTGATTGACAGTTGGACTCGACACTTGGATATGATGTGACTGATGCATCACCAATAATTGGTCGTGTCTCCAAGACACTATTACCAGCACCAAACATGTAAGGAGAACTGCGTGAATATCCAGGTTCTGACTTGATCATTCCCCCATTAATTCCTTGCATCAGGCCCATGTTAGAGTTTTGAGCTGACAGTAAGCTTGGGGGGGCATCAATCCTATTGGGATGAGAAATCTCGACTGTATTATGCATGCTTGTGCACAAGGAAGATCCGTCATTATTAAACACACTCTGTAAACTAGAACCAACAGGATGTTGCATATTTTCAGGCTTCAGAGCTGTTCCCACGTGCTCTGCAGCAAAGCATGCGGGATTCTGATGTACTGTAGCGCAACTAACATTTATTAGAATATCACGTATAGAATGAAAATTAAATTTAACGAAAAAAGATGGAATCAACCATATACCATATAGGCTTTAAACACTGAAACAGATAACTGGTTTTTTTTCCTTCTATTCACATTTTATCCATTCAATGACTACCACCTTTTTTATTACTCTGGAACATTAATAACTTTTCATACAAAATTTATCACCAGAAACAATATAAAACCAATAATATTATATCCTTGTCAAGCAGAATTTTATCTAAACTTAGTAAAATACACACACAAGATGCCTTCTATTGTAATCTGAACATTAAACAATATTTGGATATTTTGTAATGGACTGACATGAGCAAAAGCTAATCAATTAAATGAACCCACCACATCATGTGCCAAGCACCTCTTGATACTACAATTTGAAAACACATCATTTTATGATCTGCAATAGCAAATTGATATTGCATCTTCTTCCTATACATCCAAAGAAAACTAATCATTCTTGGAAAAAGCCAGAGTTTAAGTACTATAGTTTTCAATTCCTTAGTATTTCAGTAACTATTCTAAAAAATATGATCTGTCCTGTGCCTGTTAAATGACCACAAAGAAGTAACGCAACCATGAAATCAGTTGCAAGGATCATCATAACTGAAGGGAACATTCCCAGTGGTTGAAAACTTGATTGTATATTGATTTAAGCACCAATTCAAAGGATAGATTAGTACAAAATGAGTAAGTCGTACTTTCAGCACGTCCAGATGCCATAGCATTAAAAGAAAAGTTTGGTTGAAATAAATGAAACCAAAACTCAGGGAAATGATAAAAACTCACATGCAGAAATATGCGACCCATTAGAGTTAGGTATTGATCCAACTGCAGTTGGCTGTAGTTGATTCATTAAATCCATCTGCCGTTCAAGCAGCCTGTTGAACTCAGTTATTTGCTGCATCACCACCAATCTTAAATAGTAAGCCTTAAAGAACTCCTGATTTTCTTCTTCAAGCTTTTGCCAAACTGAAAAAGAAGAAAATAAAAACATTGAATATAGAAATAGTGGGTAAAAAGTAACCTTCAGCTTTTGACTAAAATGCTTAATCTCATGATTAAAAAGCAGTTTCAACATCACGCTAGTAATCTGTTGAGTTTGATCAAAACGTGGTTTAGACCAAAGTAATATGGGATTGAGAGGAACTTGGTCTTGAAAGTTGCAAAACACTTTTCCAAGTGAAAAGCTAACACACATAATCAATGACCAAATTTTGCTGTTGATATTCCTATGACTTCAGAAGTTCAAAATTACCACTAAAAGTTGACGTCCCTTTTAACGTATCAACTGAAAACCACCAACGAGGCAATGACCACTCAGCTTGGCAAACAATCACCCTCCATTATAGCATTGATGGGCATTCATGTAAGATGGGAAGCACTCCCAAAAGCTAGCTATTAAGGTGGGAGAACTAGCCCAATTAATTAAATATTCTGGAAAACATATTTCCAAAATATATATACATATATAATATTTATTTGGAATTAAGGTATCTCATACTACCTTAATTTCTCATCAATTTGCCTATCTTAGAGAGATGACGTCCCAACAACTATATTTTGCAGCACTTCACTCAACTTTCTCGTTGGTTAAAACCCCACACTGATTAGAACTATAAGTAGCCCTTCCCAAGGCTATCCACCACCGGCTCTAATAACACTCAATGAATACTCAAATGATATGGGATAGAAACTAGCTATTAAGGTACGAGAATCGACTCATGAAATACCCCATAAAACATCCCATACCACCTTAGTGTCCTTCAAGCACACATAAAATTATAATTTCAAAAGCAAATAGCAAAGGCAACTAGTTACATATATCATAAAGTGTTCAGGTCACTGGTTCTTCCAGCATTGGATTTAGGTTCAAGCTTTTCTTAAAAGAGAAGCCTAATTATCAACTTGTGACAAACATAAGTTATTTACAACAATCTACTGCGTCAAAGAAGTTCAGAAAAATGAAAATATGAACTGAAAGGTAGAAAGGTTGTTCTCAACATTATAACCAGATAGCCAATGAAATAATACCGTCAATATAACTTCCTTTACCAAGTTCAATAATGTGTGCATGTGTGTTCGTGTCCTGTTTTGATGGTGATAGAATACATCTATTCACTCCCAGCTTTCAATTAACAATAATCCCATTCTCTTCTTTGTTTTATCTTCTGTCACTTTCACTGACCTCTATTCTGAAATGCAATTGTACAGTTAAGATTTTCACATAAAATAGGATAGCCGTATGAAAAGCTAGGCACTAACATTTAGACCAAAATCATACGTTAAAGACCCGTGCTCTATTCAGAGCAATAAAGTTGGAAATAATGACTAAGAGATCAAAAACACCTGGAATAAAATCAAAATCACATCGTAAGTGAAAAAATATAAAAAAGTTAATATGGTATCATGTACTAGGATATCACATCAAGTCTTCTGGCAATTTAAAGAAGAAAATAAATGACAGAGAACATTACCAAGTTCAGTGAAACCAGGCTCTATTTTTGCTTCATCCAGCAGCATTTTGACAACTTCTTTCTGGTTCATATATAATTGTAAACATCGTTCTATAAGATTTTGCACCTAGAATGAGGCAATTAAACAAATCTTACGGTTAGAGCTTTTCCACGCAAGAAGATATTAGAATATCATGCTCACGAAAATCACATGAAGACACTTGCATATTCATACATAAATAAATGCCAAAATTTAAATGCCAAAGCCCTCTAGGCTAGTGTGCACATTGCATTGGGGTCAGAAATTTCTGTAGCCATCTATATGCACAAATTAAAACCAATATACATTTAGAAATCCCTTCCCAAACACATGCGTGCAGACATTGCACGGGGGGTGGACATTTTCTGTAGTTTGCCATACTTTGGAAATAGGAGGTTTTTTCCAATCAATAGCACCAGGAACTAATATATCAGGCAAAGAATGGCACTGTTAAGAGGCAGAATGGCCACTAATGTGAAAATTCAACAGATTATAACTGATAGCTAACTGATTCCACTACAAGTATAAGTGCTTCCATTACACAGGCAATTCTTTATTAAAGAAGCGCATAGTGAAAACTACGAGAGCACCCAACATCTTGTCAAACAACCTTTGGGCAGCAATTTTTTACGCCATCATCTCTTAAGCAATCGGTGTCCACAAACAATAGCTAACCTGCATATTACTTGTCACATATTTGAGGTTATTTGGATGTTAGGTGGCAAAAATACTTTATTTCAGGTTTATAAGAAAATTATAGACTATGTTGTGGAATGGATTGTTTACGATATACACCAGCCATCTATTACAGTTAAGCTCACGATTACTTCTTACCAGTTGTATATCCTCCCGGGAAACCCGTCTCTCAGATCCACTTGACATATCTTAAGTTCCCAAATTTGCTGTTAATAAGTAGTGTAGTGAAGTTCTAGAGTTTTGTAAGGTAAAGCTCCAGTCGTACTTTGAGGTCAACGAACAAGCCCTATACCAACCACCTGAAGGCATAATAAAAGTAAAGAAAGGAATTCAAACTATATAAACTTTGCCTGTGATCTTTTAAAATCAAGAAATCGAGCTCATAATTTACTTCAAGAAAACAAATGCCGAAAGTAAATGACATGCATAGTTTATAACGGATATAAGGGAGGGCAGAAAAAGGCAAAAACCAGTAGTTGAATATAACTTTCTGCCTGTTAACTATTTGGAGTAGCTTCATACGCATACAAAGCTGAGTCTTTACAGAATAGCTCGGATCAAAGGGATGGATTTCTCCTTCCCCGTGACCATGCTATGTCAGTGAAATAACAGAAAACGATGCAAAATTCAATCGAGCTCATAAGGTTATAAATCCCGTGATCATAAAATCAACGAGAGAAGCTCCAAGAATCTCAAAAGAAAATTAATTAAACCATGGATGCGTGCATGTCGTTGAAGATTTCCAAATAAAATTCTGAGATACCCGGGGGCGGGGGGAGTCTAAGGCCGAATACTGCACATTTTACCTGAAAGGAATTCGATTCCTAAAACTTTTCCAGTAATCCTAAAATATAGGACTCAGCCTCATAATTTGCTTAAAAGAACCATATGCCGAAAGTAAATAACATGCAGAGGTTATAAAAGGATGCAAGAAAACAGGAAAAACAAAAGTGAAAAGGGCGACGACAGCCCCAAACAAGCTTAACAGAACTTTCTGCGTACAAGCGGTTTGGAGTTGCTTCATGCGCACACAACATTTGATCCTAAGTGCGTGTGACAAATGAAAGAGACAGATTTCCCCACTCCCACAAGCAAGCTATGTCAGAGAAACAACAGACAAGGATGCAAAATCTAATTCAGTCGTGGCCGACACGTCCCGAATCATATGATCACAAAATCAATAAGAGAAACCACAAGAATCTCAAAGAACGAAATAAACCACACCATGCATGCGAGTAACCAGAGATTTGGAAATGAAATTCTCGAGAGGCCAAGAAAAAAGAAGAGTTCAGGGATAAACCCTAGGTAATTTACCTGAATTGGATCGGAATTGGAGAACCTTTGAGAGGGGAAAGGTGTGTGTGTATTGGGAGAAAAAAGGAGGAGGTGACGAAGCTAATACCCTTAATGCATCAACTCTATGATCAGCATCATCATTATTATTTTAATTATTTATATACCTTCTTCTTTTTGGAGATGAGGGGCCACAGGTGTTAGAATTTCGGACTTACAGACAGTCCATTGGGCCAAGGGCTTATACAGCATCCCAGAACGCAACACGTGGCAAGAGCGGGATGCACGTGGGGCTCAGGTGACTCGGACTCTCTCCCCTCCTCATCTCCAGAGCTCCCACTCCAACATGAATTTATCACGTACAGTTATAAAATGAAAAATTGATTTTAAAAAAAAATCATAAAGCCAAATGATAAACTTAGTTGTTAAGAAAAGGGAACTTCTCTTCACCTTCACCAAAAAAAGAAAAAGAAAAGGGAACTTCTTATGAATAAAATCAGCACATGGCTTGGTTTAGATGAGAAGAAAATAAATGGAGAAAATAGTATACTTGGGAAAAAGCCTAAATTTTCACTATTTTTTAGATTTTGCTCTTCTTTCTAATTTTTCCCCATCTAAATTAAGAAGTAAATTTGCAAACTTGATCGTGAATAGAAAATTGACCGTAATAATTGGCTTTTTACCTGTAATGACATTTTTATTATTTTTGCTTGGCTAGATTAATTTTTTATTTCAATTTTTAGTGTATAAAATAAAATTTTTTTATATCTATTAAACAAATTATTCATGCTTGGATGTGAAAGCAACAATTTTCCCAAAATAGTAAAAGAAAATTAAGATGATGAACATCGGGTGAAGAGCATGCAAAATCGTCAAAGGGGACAAAAGTTGATGGGCCTAAAACCAAGGATTCGGAAGACCTGCCCATGTGAATGAGTGTAATAGCCCGTAGTTTGTCCATTCCACTTCAAGTCAAGTCAGTCACCCTTGTTTTTGTCTTTGCCACGAGTAACAGAGGTCATTCTATTTTCCCTCCTCCCTCGGCCATACATCCAATTTAGTATTTATCGGTCGGCAAAAAAAAAAAAAAGCATTTATCGAGCAAACTTCGCATGGTGTTCTATTGACAGAAGTAGACTAAAAATTCTTAGCTTGCTCCTTTATCTCGTTCTTCAGTTTTGAACGAAAAGTATATATCCTTAATTTTTAATGTAAAACTCAATTTGAGAATTGATATTGATCCCGTATATAATAAAACCTATTTCACATGTATATTATTTTTGTTCCAAAATAATCTTAATCATGTATGAAAAGGAGGGGGAATTAAAAAGGTTGGTTAGGATGTTTTAGAAAAAACATACTACCTCTAGTCCATAATGTTGGAGTTTATTTGACTTTTATTTTGATCTTAAATATAATATTCTAATTTATTTTGTCTCTCATATTTATATTTCTTTCTAATTAGTTCTAACCAATATACTTAATTAGCAAATATATTTTAGAAAAGATAATACCAATTCATTACGAATAACTAACTTAACTAATTTTCATAATCTACTCAAATTAATTAACTAATTTTTATGTAAAAAACAAGAGGGGGTATTAGATTAATTGATTTAACTAACATCTTTAATCTACTGAGATTAATTAATTATATTTTATATTAAAGATAGGAAGAATAGTATATTAAATCATGCGGTAAGCGTAAGAGAACTCTTTTTTTTTTTTTGGAGTTAAAATTATTATCAAACAACCATTCTGCAAAAATTAACTAACTGTTAAGTGTGATCGCTGCGTTCTGTCTTACATGTGAGTTGTTAAAGATCAGCCCCTTGCAAAAATTAAAATTTCTCTCTCATATGAATTTAAACTCGTGCTATTATTTACATTCGTATCATTCTTAGTATATGAAAAAAAGTAAACTATGGTTTAGACTAAAAGTTTTTATATCAAAAATCATATCCAGAATATTATAAATACAGGACTTCTTATATAAAAGTGTTTGGATGAGTGGAAAAGTGTTTTTCAAAAATATTTTTTCACAAATCGAGATAAACTTCTTTACATATATTTATTTTATATACCGTAAAAACATTTTGAAAATTATGATTTTGTTTCCACCCACACAAGTTCTTAACTCGTTTTGGGCAAGAGTCCCATTGTCATTTTCGCAAGGTATGCCAGGATTTATCGCTGGTTATATGCGATACGCAGGTCTTTGATCGCCAATTTCCCCCAAATCTGATGACTTGTTTTCAGTTATACGAAATTAGCCAAGAATTTAATGTAATGCAATATTATGAAGAGAATAAGAATATACGAGCCAGAAAAAGTTTGTTTTCTTATGAGTTATGAGCTTCTTTTTCCCCCAACACACGTCGAGAGTTAAGAAAACAGAATTAACTAAGAGGAAAAACTTCATGGAGGACCCACGGAGCCATTTAACAAGAGAAGACTAAAACAAATTTCAGAATTAAAGGATTACGCGGAATAAAAATGAACTAGGGTACTTGGGCCACACAAAAAAAAACTCGGGGATTCGATCGAAACAAACTCCGAAAATAAGGGAACACATTTTCACCTTTTTTTAAATAAACTTTTAGCCAAAGTAGGCCCCCAAAAAAAATTCCAAAAAAAATCCCTTGAGCGCTTTGAAAAATGACAACACATGTTTCAACAAAAAGAATACGTAATTTACCCGCACAACATTTACATATTACCAGGGTTGTTTTAAGGTTCATCTTCAGGAGACATAGATCTGGGAAGAGTAGAAGGGGGAGGGGTGAAGAACGGGAATACGAATGTCTAATCCGATTCTCCAAAATACATTCATCGACAACCGAAATAAATCAGCTGAATTTCTCTACTTTTTTTGTTGGTATGTTTGAGGAAACAAAATTGGAAGCGGATTTTCCAGGAGATGTGTACAGGAGGCAACTCTCTCTACAGTCGTATAAAGCATCTATTATCCAACACTGGAGTTAAGACGTTAAAAGGATTTTTAAAAAAAGAAAAAAACGGTCATATGAGAATTACATATTGTAATTTCAGAAATATACTTCACATGATTGATCACACAACTGTGGCAATGTCACTGTATCTTGGTCTCGTTCTGTCAGTCTCAGGTGAAAGCCCCTGTTGTTCTATGGCCTTTCTCTTGTTACTACCGGCTGCTTGTGGTGATTGTGGTTGTTGTTGATCTAGTTGTGGCTGTGGTGTAGGTTGCTGCACAGCAATTTGATTTTCAACTGGTTTAACTAGTGGGGTTTCAGGATTTTCTTGCGTCTCAGGCTTTTGTTCTTTCAACCTTGTCTTCATCAAATGGGGTCGAAGCCTGTTCAAATCCGACAGCCTCACTGGCTTGAGAAAAAACTCCTCTGCTCCTTCCTCCAAGCATCTGTTGCCATTTCACATGCATATTCATACGTAAGCATTCCACCTCAGAAAATGTTTTTAAGGGAGGGTGCTACGGATACTCAAAATGTCTCCCCTGTTACCTGCTAATTCTTGAAGGCACATTCTCCGACGACATAATCACCACCGGTATGTTTCTCAAAGACGAAGATTCCTGAAAAATCAAAGGGAGTCCTGTTAATTTATAAGTCTGCAGGAGCCTGAATTAAATAGGCGAGCACAGTGGTTCCCAGAGACGACCGAATGAATTCTTCTCTGATCTTAGCCATTAAAGGGTGCCCTTTTAAAGAATGGAATACTTTGATTATAACTACCCAGCTTTGTTTCTCATAAACAGTTTCGAAAACCGATGAGGAGAATATTGCGGGGGGTTCTTTTATCCTTTTCAGTTAAAGTGAGAAAAACTCGATTCCCAAGCTGACAGCATTTCAGCAGTAGTAAGTTGGATTTGGAATGCAGGGTTTCAAAATGGAAAGCCTTCACATGGGTGTGTGATTTGTGCAAAAGGGTGATTATTCTGAGGGTAAAGACCGAGAAAAGTGGAGGGGAATTGGAATATAATGATAAAAGGGAAAGAGGACAAAGGGAATAGAAACCAAAGCACCAGAGCATACCTTGATTTTCTTGAGTAAATCATAGCCTGTCATGCCAGGCATACAGTAGTCCGTAATAATAAGATTCACCGCCACCTCCTATGACCACAGAAAAATCCAAAAGGTTTCAGACACCCTGAAATGAAAATGAAGCAAAAGAATTGCAGAAACGGATCCCGGGAATCTCAACCAGTCGTAGCAGAATCACTAAAATGATGATACCTGATGGCTGCCAGGAGAAACCGATGGCGTGCCGGGGTCGATCTGGTCACGGTCGCGCAAGCCCAGGAACTCCAAAGCCTTGCTACCAGAATCCACCGTAGTAACTGTTATTGAGGAAACAGAGTCCATTAAGATGAGCAGACCTAAGATCAGCAGAAGAAAGAACACCATTTGAAATTCGCGAGGCTATGACAAAGGACGGCGGGCAAGAAGTACCTTGATAGGAAGAGGTCTTGAGCAGCCTCTCAATCAGCTTCCTGTCTATGAGGCTATCATCTACGGCCAAGACATGAAATTGGGACTCCGCGGCCATTCCCATTTGGCATAGATTCCGGACGCAAGACAAAACCCAGAATCGCGGGAGATAGGAAATACAGATCAGAGCGGAGGAGAATGAGCGTTGCTTGCTTTTCCACAGGACCGGCGTTTGTTATGGCGGAGAGGGGAGGGGGATGGTTTGTGGGATGGGGAGGCTAGGGGAGGAGTGAGGGAGAAGAAGAGTTATGTATGGAAAAAAGACCCACCAAAATCCACGTCCCACAAAAGCAAGATCCAACCAGATTTCATCCAAAATCTTGAAGAGTTTGCAAGGTGATGTTGAATTACAGGGCAAGCAAATGCAGGGAACATAAAACGGGGGGACTAAAAAACAAACAGGAAACGAATAAAATGGAGGGGGGGATGGGAAATAAATGGGAGTGAATATATTTTGTTAGGTTGGAAAGGATTTTTAATATATACAAGGAGGGAGGGAGGGAGGGGAAGAAATGGAGTGAGGGAGGGAAGGGAAAAAGAAAGGAGTGAGTAGGGCCCAGAAAATCCGATCAAGAGATACAGGTGAGGTCAGCAAAGGAGCCTTTTTCTCAAAAATTAATTTTAATAAATAAATAATATTGAGAGGGGTGTTTGTGAAATCATGGGGCGCTTAGAGAGAGAGAGAGAGCAGGTGGTGGGAAAAGAAAGGCCATTTTCCTTTGATTCCCTTTTAAGATTTGCTTCCCATGCCATCCCATCCCATCTCATGCATCTCCCATATATCCCACATCCCCCGTTTTCATGTCTTCTTTTCCTTCCATTCTAACTACATTTTCCCTGGTTTTTCCTTTTCCTTTCACATCCTAATTTGTCAATTCGTGAATTCACAACATCCAATTTTTCCCTACTCAACGAACCATTGTTGAGTTTTTTTTTTTCCTCTTGTCCATGCTCCCTTTTTCTCGATAAATCTTTTTATCTTGCAATATTTAAATTGAAAAATAATATATATTTATTGTATGGTATATCCCTGTGGGAATGGGGAATTCATTAAAATGATTGGGTTGCCTTAGAGTTGAGACGGGAGCATATTGGAACGCTGCTAGTTGAGGGAATAAGGACAGAATGAGAGGAGGGGGGTATGGTGTTGTTGTTCAAGCTGGTAATGATAAAGGGAGGGAACCATGATTGGCGTGTGAAATGAGCAAAATTAGATGAGATTAGATGGGGTCTCTAGAAGTTAATAAAAGCAATAAGGAGTGAACATATTTTCAACAGTGGTTGGAAGGTTTGTGATTGGATGAGTGGGTGTGGACCTATATTGAACATTGTAGTGATGTGCATGTGTGGGAGCAAAAGAAGAGAGAAGAGGAAGAAAAGGAGGGGTACATGCCGGGAATTTTGAAAAAAGGTGAGATGGCACAATTTTAGTAGGCCATTTTCATTAGATTTTGTGGCATCTTCTTCCTCCTTTTTTCACTCCCCCATTATGCCCGCTGTTTCACTCCCAACGCCAATATTACGCCACTTTTGCCCTTTCCCCCCCTCCTCTTTCTCAAACCATCATCATTATATTTGTCATCTTGGCCTGAGTCAAGCGTTCATATTCTATTTCTTCCCTTTCTCCTTTCTCTCCTCTTTTTATATGCCCCCCTCTTTTCTTTGTTCCATTCAACCCACACACCCCCTTGCCCATAAGGCATGCCCTCTTTTCTTTGTTCCATTCAACCCACACACCCCCTTGCCCATAAGGCATGCCCTCTTTTCTTCCACACCAAATATCCATTCTTCCTTTTACATTTAAGGGGAAAAAAAACATCTAGAAACTTAGGTGGGTTAGATTTCAAAACTGTCCATAATTTAGGATCAGTTCAACACTTAAAAAATATTTACAAATTATCACCGAATATCCCCCGGCGGGGGAGGCTGAGGGCCCAAATCTCTGAATGAACGGGAGGTTTATGTCCAATGAAAGGCCGTCGGTGTCAAGTTGATATCGTTTCATTTTCTAAAATTCTGATGGCTTAAAGTAGATTTCAATCCGATGTTTATATGTCCTGCGAAATTACTCCAAAAACACACACAGGAGCCACGAGACGACAAGGGGATCAGCAAGGATCTCATCTAATTGATGCTTTTTACAGCAACTTGAAATGGACACATAGTGGTGAACTCATGATAATGACCGCGACACAATGTCAATACCAGTATTCAAACCTTAAATATTACATCCGGTTTTTAATATAAGATCTCATTTGATTTTTATTTTGATCATAAATATAATATTTTAATCCACTTTGTCTCTCGTATTCATGTATTTTTTTCCTAAGGTAGTCCTTTTAATAATGATAGCTCTAGCTCATACACTTAATTAGCAGAGATATTTTAGGAAAGACAATATTTATTTATTAAAAATAACTAACTTATTTTTTTAATCTCTTCAAATTAGTCAACTAGCTTTTATATTTATGGCCGAAGGGAACAACAACGATACAAGCAAATGCATGCTTTATGGTAGTCAAATTACAAGACGAAATCAAGTGCTACACAAACTTTGTTATGCATTTAATTTGAAATCGTTAAGCGAGGCATATACACACGCACGCACGCACATGTTTTTGCGCATATTTTAATTATTGAAGTGGTGGGAAAAAGACTTATCGCAATGGAAATTAAAGTTTTTTTGGGGGGGGGGGGTGGTTTTAATTACATATAGTGTAGACCCTTAACAACGTCAACAGCCATAACCTCGAACCCCACCACGCCCTTTCTCTTTCTCACCACGCCGGAGGCATACAGACATGTTCACATGTACAATTTCATCATAGAGGGACCAAAGCTTTTAAATCTCTTGTACATCCCAATTGTTTATCATTGTTATTATTATTATCCGAGTTGTTTATGATCCGATTTCTGATTTTATTCTTACTAGCTGTATCACCAACACTGCTTAGCGTGGCTTATAGATCATGTGGAGACAGTTAATTAAAGTTTCATTGTTTTTCTGGTTGCTCCTGTATTAAATGATTTCGCGGAGGATCACGTTTGTCACTACTTTATTATGTGATGAAGTGTCATATTGAGCTTTCTAATAATTAAATTCAACCTGCCACTGTTTTTGTTCTCTCCTTAAATAACACTATACGGGTTATTCAAATAAACATTATCATTAATTCGGGTTTATAGTTATATTTTCTGATAACTCAATAGTGGTATATAAGTAAATATAGCATCTAAGTATCCTGCCCACGTTAAAAGACTCAAACTATAAATTAAATGTCGGGAAAGATAAAATGAAGCGTTGCAGGTATTTTGTAATAATACTACTGCAGATGAACTTAAAAAATGGCATGGCCAAGGCTTGAATGGAGATTCACCAATTTGCAAGTGACCCCACGGTTTTTTTGAAAATTAAATTACTTCGGATTTACGCAAGTTCATGCTGTCTTTTACCGAGTTATATATCATTTCGGACTGATCTCTCATGAGACTGAACGAGTATATGTCGATTCACGAGAGCCAATTCTTACTTTTTAGAAATGTTAAATTTTAAAGTTTCAGTATGTTAGCCGCCTTGTATTAAAAACAACGTGGGGTTTCAGTTTGGATAGGGTAAAAAAAACAGAGGAGGAGAAAATATTAAGAGGAAAAGCTTGCCCATTCAAGCTTTAAATTCCTTGAATGACAAAAAAAAAAGGGTTTGATATTCCTTGAAATTAGTCGAGGGCAATTTTATTTATTTTTTAACCTTAAAGTAATCTTAATTTTCTGATGCTTTGTTGGAGTAGTTTTTTTCTTTTTTTGGGCATATTGTTGGAGTGGTTTAATATTGAGGAAAGTGAAAGGGGCTGAGTGGGTCCCAATTAATATACGCCCAGCGAAGCAGGAGGGATCGATTCAGGGGGCCAAAACACGATCCGGGGATCCATGGAGGACTTGATCCTTGCAGCCTCCGGTGCCCCTTCCACGTGGCACCCACTCCACGCTCACAGAAAAGCTGTCAACTCTCTCTCTCAATTTCAGAGCTCTTGAAAAGTTTCGTCTTTCAATTAAGCAATTTCTTTTCTTTTGTCTTTGCCATCACAATTCACAATTAAGCAATTTCAATTCGGTCGAAAACAATGACTTCCTCCAGTCATAAATACCAAATATAAAATATTTTAAACTAATTTATAAATTTTTTTGGAATTAGTTCATATGGTTATTCATAATTATATTAATATGAAAAAAATTATGAAACTTTTTTTTTAAAAAATACTTTAATTATTCAATAGTTAACAATTTTTACCAGAAATAATTAAAAATTTAATTCATAAAAATAAAATGCTTCAATTAATAAGGTATGTAATGTAAGAAATATATAATTAATATAGAATACAGCAGAAACTAAATATTATATTTAAGACTAAAATAAAATTTTAAATAGTACTCCCTCCGACTCCGGTCCTTATTATAAGTTTTAAATAACTAATTCATGGATAATGAATCGTTAGTTAAAAGTAAATAAATAGGTTATAAATATAGTTCTGTTTTTAAATATACTTTTATAATAAATGACAAAAATGATGAAAAAGAATGTGTGAAGAAATATTATAAAAGAAAGTATGATAAAGGAGACACAATAGATAATTACAGGAAAATAAAAAAAAAATATTAAATGTTAAGACGAGTCCTAAATTAAAGCTTATCAATGAAATTGATGACACTCCTCACTAAATTTAAAACTCATAAATAAGACGGAACAGAGTACTACTGTTATAACTTCATTTAACTCGTAAAGTGAAGAGTCCATTAACCTTTGGCCCTCACCGATAATGGCATTGTCGCCACCGCATCTCATTTGCGGGGAAATGCCTGTAACTGAGACGGAGGATAACGTTTTACTATCGACCCCCTTTGTGCATATATATTAGGTGTAGGATTGTAGGGCGATTTCCTCCATAGGAACTTCAATTTTATCAAGTAAAAAACCGCCCTTGCAAAGAAATTAAAGATATAAACTATTCTAAAAAAGATCTTTTTTGAAAACTGGAATCATGGTTTCCTAATAAAAAACCGCCCTTGCAAAGAAATTAAAGATATAAACTATTCTAAAAAAGATCTTTTTTTTAAATTGGAATCATGGTTTCCTAAAGTCCCAAATTAACCATGAGTATATATATCTATTACCACCTTCTTTCGGTCGTAATTATAAACCATCATTCATAAACCATAAATAAAATATTATAATTAAAATCGGAGGTAGTATTTTTCAGGTAAAAAAATAAGTAGGAGTGTATTTTTAGATGTTGCAGAAGGAAAAACTTTAAAAGAGTGTGTGTTATAAATTTAAAAAATGAAGTGACCATTTAAGATTCTACGAAAACTTAATATTTTTTTTGGACCGAAGTAAAAACGAAAACTTGATCAGAAAAATCACAC